TCACCCAGGCTAAGGGTGACAGTCTCTCCCTCCTTTCCTCTCCCCTGAAAACAGCAGCATCCTCATCCTTCCAGTCTCTCATTGCCTTCCTGGAAAGCCAGGTCAGGCCAGCTAAGGCCGAACACAGTAAGTGGAGCATCCTTGGGAGGACCAGTAATACAACATGACACCCGGGCACCCAGCTCCGAACTCAAGCCCCTAATCACTGCACAATCACAGACATCTGGAATAGCTTACAGATCACCACCTGACCTTCAGAGATAGCTGACAAGGGCTGAATTATCCAAGTCACTTGCTCCAAGAACTCGAGGGTGCTCTATGGCTGTAATTCAAAGTGATGGGATCAGTCAGAGAAAAGCACTGGTGGGAACCGATGGATTCTGGCAGGCACAATCAGCACCTGCCCTGAGTGAACATGGGAGTGGCTCGGAAGGACTAAGGTTGGCAACTCTTCGCTGTGAAGTTTCAAAAGAGGTTGAAATTAAATTTTAGGTGTCTGGAAAGAGGTGTAAAAAGAACCATGCTTGGGTTCCGGAGATGGCTCAGTGGGTAGAAGGCTTTCTGTGAAGGCATGAGGCCCTGAGTTCAGATCCCGTCATCCATGGAAAATTCTGGGCAGGGTGGCATGATTGCACCCACCTCACCATTCCAGACAGGCTCAGCTCCTGGTGCCTGGCCGCCAAGGAAGCCATCCACTTGCCTGGATTGGCTACAGCAGATCTCATGAGGGCACCGAGGGCAGTGGCAGCCCTGAACACCAGCAAAGTTCCATCCCATGGGAAGCTGATTTGGGGAAATGCTGCCTATTATCTTCCCTGCTGAGAGTGTGTTTAACACAGAAGAAGCCAGAGTGGTTCTGAAGCCCAAACAAACTCCTCATCTGGTTGTTTGAGTTCAGCATTTTCTGAACTAGGGTATGGGTACCCTAGGGCTGCTGTATTCAAGCACAAGCAAGGAGGCTTCAGAAGCAGGAACTCATTTTCTCACAGTTCTGAAAATCAGAAGACCAAGATCGAAGGAGGCATTGACTGCACCATTCACGAACCCTCTCTGAAGGCTCTAGGAGCAATGCCCCCATGCCTTTTCCTAACTAGTGGTTGTCAGCGATGCCCCGTCTCTACCTTCACTTGGCGTTCTCCTTCTGCATCTATATATGAAGCTCCTACTGCCCCTCACGCATGGAACCAAGGCCAGCACTGAATCAATATGACTTTACCTTAACTTGGCTTCTCTATTGTCTGTAAGACCCTAGGAAATAAGGTCATGTTCACAAACTCCAGCTTAGGACTTCAATATACCATTTTTGTTAGTCTGTTTCCTTTGAGAACAGAGTCTCATAATATGGGCCCATATGACACCAAGTTTATTTGAACCTGAAGTCCTCTCATTAATGCATTGCCGAGGAACACCTAGTGGATGTACACAGAATGTGTCTTTTCTTTTTATTAGAACCTATTAAAATATAATGTCACCAGAAGAACTATAACAGTATTTTTAAAACTAGTAGTAACAATCCAGAATATCTCTTTTAAGTTACCTTTTTAAAATCTAAAGGCCTTGGGTCCTCACTAGTATACCATGAAGATAAGACCAGGGCACACATGGGCAGCTTGTACATAATTCAAGAAATAATTATTCCCGTGAGGTCCTACGCAGGCTGATGGAGAAAAAGTCACCACCAGTCTTACCCAGCTGTAAATTGGGAAAGCTACAATAACCACCAGCCTGGCAGGATACATCCATGGGTCTGATAGGTGTGGACACTATGGGCCTTACCAACCACTTCCTGATAGAAGGCCTGCTCTGCAGGAGATGTGTGACTGATACTGCTGTAAATCTGGCCAAGAACCCATGGCTGGGGAGCTCATGGGCCCTAGGGGGAAATTGACTACTGCTGTTTTATTAAATGGACATAATATCAAGCTAACTTTGGCTTCCCAGTGAGTAGGATCAAGGTGTTATTGTTTCTCCACACTCTCTGCCCTTGCTGGAGAAACTTCTTTGTGCGGTGGACAGTGATTAACACAGAAAGTCACAACTGGCCACCGTGCAGAGAATAAATGACTGGAGTACCCACCACACTATTGTGCCAAAGGCTTAGAAAACATTAAGGAAGAGGGGGCGAAAAGATTCTAAGACACCAGAAAGGACTGGATTGAAATTTTGGACATTCTAGGACCACTGCACTTGAACTCACCTCAGTTGTAGCTGCCTACATGAGATCAAGCCAGTCAACATTCTAGCATGGATGGGGAGGGGCTCACTGCTTCCTGTCCATCACTTAGGAACTATTGACGGCTGTTGGCAGCTGAGAGAGAAACTCTTCTTTAAGGGTGTGGTATCTAATAGGTTGTCTATACCTGAGTCGATGATCTTACATCCACGTGCATACAGGCATCAGAAAGCAGACCCAATAGTTTATGAGAAAAAGGACACGAAGTTGGTGAGGATAGAGGTAGGGGTGGATCTGGGGGGAATTAAAGGGATGGGGTGAATATGATCAAATGACATTGGGTCCATGAATGAAATTCTCAAATATCGCCTTAAAGAAGAAACACGTATAAACAAATTACTGGCCTTGGCCTAGGATTGTGGGGAACATGGAGAAGAACAGAGAGGTTTCTGCTGTTAGGTGATGAATAGAATGGGTTAGCAGCAGAAAGAAGCCAAATGCTTCAGGAAAGAGTTGGATGCCATGAAGCAGAGGTGACGTGGGATGAGGCACAAAGCATACAAAGCATAGTGCTGTAGGAACACTAAATAGAGTCACAGGCAGTCACCTCCCTCATCCCTGCCCCCTCGCTGAGGTTCAGCCTAGACTCGTCACCTCCCAGGCTAGTGCCAGCCTCTCTCGCATCTCACCACACTTATTCAAGCACCTCTGAAAGTCATAGTGGGGATTTGCGTTGGGTCATGTGTCTGTGACATTAAGTGTCAGGTAGGTAGAGCTGCTGCTCCAAGTTATAGAAATTAAACAAAACACACCTACATGGAAAATTCTCTTAGATTCCGTTAGATTCAAAAGTCATTCAGAGTGATCTCTCCTGATCACTATGGACCCTCCTGGGGTTTGGTAAATCGAGCATGACTAGCCTCTTCTGTTCCAAGCCAAGTCAGAGCAAGGATTCAACCCAACAGTTATTCTGCTAGACAATAATAATCTATTTCTGTTGATAGGAATAATTTGGTAAAATTTTCACAGCAGTGTTATTATTTTTTATACTAATATACTGTTCTGAAGATTAACAACCTGCAAAACCCACGGCAGTGAGTTCTCAGGTCCCCAAACACTTGCAAATACCCTTCAAGGCCCCAACCTCTCTTTCTCACTGCCGTGTGACAAGCATTGACACCAAGCTATTTCAGGACCTCTTAAACACTCTACACTTTGACAGAAGAAAACAGGAGAGACATCGTTCACAATAGGAAGAAACTACATTTGTGATGTAGGGAGAGACTTGCTTAGTAACAACCCAAGAAACATGTTCCCAGTTAGTCACCATGGAAGCCAAGGCTTAGAAAGCAGGAACTGTGATGAAGACAGCATAGTCCACGCGTCTGTGCCCTTTCTGGGGTACTCACCGCCATCCTTTGGGAAATTCTAAACCCTGAGAGTTCAGGGAGGACTATTATGTCTTTAGAAAGAAATACATATGACTGTCCCAAACTCCAGCATAGTCAAAGACGTTTTCAATACACAGACAGTTAAGATTACAAAGAAGCTAAATTTATATGTGAGTCCTTCATACAAATTAATTTCAGACATTCTCAGGCAGGGTACTCACGCGAACAACTTATTCAAAGCCACACAGGGCATGCCAACTCCTACCTTCATGCCTTCTCTCCTGCCTACAGTCACTACTCCCAGTGGGAAGGGAATTTTCTAAAATGAAGACTGCCCCCCATCTACCTTCATCTCATTTAATTCAGTATCAATAGCCAGAGAATGTGGTTTGCCCCATTGAAATGGTCCAGAGGCCACTGTACACTGAGTCCATGGAAGCCAGAAAATTCCTGCTAGAATCAGATTATCCAGATCCTTTGAATTTATGGTTCCAGAGCACGGATGCCAGCCACTCGGGTGACGGGTATGGACTGCACTGCCAGGGTGTTATCAGTGAGCTCTTAATGCTCATACCACAGTTACCCCAGCTCCTCGTTGCAAAGCACAGGGTGCTAACTAACCAGGAGTGTCTGACTTAGGAGCCAAGGGTGTTTCTCTACCCCATCATCACTCTTTTGGAGACAGTACCACAGAGGAGGATGTGGTTAAGGCTAAAACCAAAGCCTTTGCACTAGACTGAGAATACACTACGGTTTCTGGCTTTATTCACTCCCCGTCCCTACAGTAAAGAGATGATTCCACAAATCACACAAAAGACATTCTCTCATTAGAGACTAGCTGTTACTGAAAGTAAAGAAGAGAAATTTCCATTAGAAGATTCTGAAATTGCCACCCGTACATGCTTACCTCTGAGACCAGAAAACAAATGCGCCAGAGGAAGGCTGGCAGGGAAAATGGAACATCGTGGAATTGTTTTCAAAGGGGGAAATTAATTGGTTATTTCTATTCTGGCTTAGATGAAGCTATAAAAATCTAATCAGAAACATTTTTCATAGAGGCTTTGCCTGCCCAACAATGAAACTCCCCAAACCATAAACTATTTGTGTGTGTGTGTCCCTATTATTAATGTTTTCTTCTGGGTGAAACTCAATGACTTCAAACATCACCCAAAAATGAGAGTCTTCTTCAGAGACCATAGATGTGATGGTGAATGAACCAGTTCCCAAGAGCCGTCCCTGATACTTGAAGGCAGAAGCCTCTGCTCTCACAGGCAAACCCAGCGTTAAGTTCTTGGGTCTCTTGAACCAAAGGCAAACAGCTAGCATGCAGGAAAGACCACATGACGTTTCAAAGAACAGGCTGCCTGTGGTCTAAGTTCACCTTAGCTTCATCAATAGTGCCAAGGATGATATAGATATAAGTAAATTTTTCCTACCTTCTCTTCTTGTGACTTCAAAGTCTCTCGTTTCCTGGAAGAGAAAAGAGATGTGGTTTTGAAGAATAATTCAAAGATACCGAAGGTGCAGAAACTTGCAAATGATTCCTGTCTTGTTAGTTGCATTTTCACCAAAAGGTGAATCCAGTAGCAAGGTGGGACAGTCAGCAATGTTGGGTCTCCTAACCTCACACAGCATGTATACACACATGTGCACATACGTGTGAGTGAGTGCACAGACACACACTTGTAAATATAAACAACTTATTATTGTGGAAATTTTACATTTTAAAAATACATTATTGGGACTGGAGAGATTAAGAGTATACACTGTTTTGCAGAGAACCCCAAGTACAGTATCCAGAACCTCTGTGGGGCAGTTCACCTGTAACTCCAGCCCCAAGGGATCTGATACACTCTTTTGGTCTCTTCCAGCAGCTGCACTCATATGGACACTAACACCCAACACATACATGCATGAAATTAAAAATAAAGCTAAAACAATTAAAAATACATTGTTAATCATGGGTCTTCTTTATGTAAAGTTTGAGCCAGTTTAGCTCCAAATATTCAAAAGGATAGATAGTTCCGGGATGTGGTTCCCATGCTCAGCCTCAACTCTACGTGCTTGTATGGCCCCCAGGAAAAATAGTCATGCCGTGTAAACTGTAGTTCCCAAAGGCTGAGCTCTCACAGACAGTCTGGCCAGTGAGTCTAGGTCACCGGGCTAAGTCAAGCCCTTTGGCTTACCCAATCCTACCCCAGGGATCTTTCTGAGGCCTGTGCTCTGTTCAGTGCAATAAGCAAACTAGTTCAGAAACTGCCCAGGTGCCACGGACGTCTGCATTAAAATTCAGCTGAACAGGGAGCTTCAGAAGAAATACACATTACTGAGAAATCAAAGGGCGATTTGCCTTGATAAATGCCAGCATTTCAAATTCAGCTGGAAACAAGGAAAATTATTTTTTAAGAGAATCTTTGAACATGGCACTGAATAATGGGCAGCTTTTGAGGCAGGGCGCAGGAAGGGAGCGTGCACCGGGATGGGAGGATGAGAGAACAGGAGGTCACATGCTGAGTGGGTATACAGTAGGCTGGGGGAGAGGAGGACAGTCCCCGGGAGAAGAATTAAAGGGAAGAAGCTAGAAACACACACCATGGTTACATAACGGATATGAAGAAGCCACAACTCATCATAAACGGCCGCTTTCAAATGGAAACCACAAGGCCGAGCTGAGCTGGAACTCTGCACTGTCTGCTAAAAGAAAGCAACAATGTGGCCCTCCACCTCCTCCCCACCAAGGCTGTTCAACACTGCAAGGTAAGCAGGTGGCACGGTCTTTCCCACCTTGGCATTCCTGAGTGGTCAGGAGAGGGAAGCAACAATAGAGACCATCCTGGGAAGTCTCCCCACCTCTGGTGGTAGTTTAAAATGTCATCTTGCCATGCCTAGGATGACCTGGGAAGAGAGTCGCACTTGAGAATGGGAGGAATGGACTAGCTCATTTGGACTGTGGGCATGTGTGTGGGGGTTGTCTCGACAGCTGATTGACAAGGAAAGGGCCCAGCCCGTCGTGGGTGACACCACTCTTGACGAAAGGGATCCGAACTGCACAGGAGTGATGAGAGCTAGCTGAGCACAAGGCGCAAGTGAGCAAGGGCGTGTGCGAGCGAGCAAGGGCGTGTGCAAGCGAGCAAGGGCATGCGCTCCATTTCTCTCTTTGCTCTTGGCCGTGGACATGACGTGACTCGCTGTTTGCACTCCTGCCTCTACTTCCTCTCACCGAAGGACTATAATCTGGAATTGTAAATCAAATAAATCCCTTTCCTCCTAAGTTGCTTTAGGGGGGATTTTTTACACAGCCACGGAAATGAATCCAGATCACTCTAATGACTTCTGTGAGTGAAAAGCCCAGTGGGGACCAGTGGAAGACGCAAGTCACACGAAGGCAGGTAGACTAACAGAAACACAACACTCAGCAATGCTGGGTCTCCTGACATGAGGATACAAAAGGGCCTCCTGAATGCTGGCCCCGGTGGGGACGACCTGGGTCAGGGCAATGGCATGGAGACAGGAATGATGATACGAGGTGTATAAGCCCAAGGCAAAGCCATCGTCTCCCAAGCTGCTCCTCAGCAGTCTGTTCCTGGGCCTGGCAACTCTACCCACTAGGAACCACCACACAGTGCTGCGAACGAACAGGTAGTCATAGTCTGCTCCAGCGCTGCCAGGAAAACCTTTACGAAATTGCTGTTGTGGTTGCGTAAAGCTTATACATTAAGGAAAGCTGGCGTCTATATGATCCTGTATCTTCTCAACTAACACGGCCTTTCCAATCATTTCTTCATGGAGTATGAAGGGCTGGGGAGAGGGCTCAGTGAATGAAGCACTTACCACACGAGCATGGGACCTGAGTCTGGATCCCCAGACCCTGTGGAAAGTGAGGGATGGTCACATGCATACGTATATCTTTGAATGAAAGCATGCCACAGCACATATGTGGAGGTCTCAGATCAACCTGAGTTGGTTCACTCCTTCCACCATGTGGACCTAGGGGATGAACTCAGGCCATCAGACTTGGTGGCAAGCACCTTTACCCACTGAGCCAGATTTAAAAACCAGGCACTTGACCAAATTTCCTACTGTTTGCCATAGGTCTCCTCTTTGCTTTTTGGGGGGTTTCCATTTGCAGCTTTTATGAGCTGCTGAGTGAGGTTCCCTAACCAACGAAAAACAGCTACAGTTCGCTGTCCTGTACTCTGCACACAGCAAGCCTCATCTCTGTCCTTAGTGCCCATTTTCAGTTCTGCTTTCCCCTGTCTTGTTAACGTCTTCCTTGCTGGATAGTAAATGCTTCAAGCTGGGCACAGCAGTAAATGCTTGGAATCCCAGGACTTGGGAGACTGAGGCAGGAGGATTACCACAAGTTTGAGGAAAGTCTGTATTAGATGAGTTAAGGCCAGTCTAAGACACGGCACGAGACTCTGTCCCCACCTCCTAAAATAAAAAAATGTGCAGACAAAGTGAGCACTTTCAACTCATTTCTGACTTCAAAGAGAAAATCTTTAGAAGCAAGTCTTGGGCAGAGATGTGTGAACCATACTAGTGCAATTGATATACATTGAGTTTCACGTAAACAATGCCCTGGGTGAAACTGCCTGTCCCCTTGCTCGCTTATCTGCTGACTGCTTCGCTTTGTTGGTGAGAGGGCTGGGATGGAGCCAGTATTTGTTTCACTCTTGCAGCCTCAGGACTGTAAGAGAACAGGTGCTTGATACATATTTGTTGAAGAAAAAATAAAATAAAATACATATGTCTTGAATTTTATCAAGTGCTTCTTCCGCATTTATGGAAATGGTTTTTTTTTTTTTGCCTTAGTTTCATTAATAGGGTGGTTTATAAAGTAGATTTTATAACACTCTACCTTTCTGGAATAAGCTTTTCTGGTTTGTGATGCACTTTTAAGAACACCATTGTGGTGGCTAGAAGGATGGCAGGATCATGTTTCAGCTCCTAACACTCCTGTGGCAGATCACAACCATCTCTACTTCCAGTACCAGGGCATCTGAAGCCCTCCCCCTCTTTGGGCTTCCACAGGCACTGTACACACATGGTGCACATATACACATGTAGACAAACACCCAAGCACGCATAATTAAAATAAACACATATTTTAAAAATGTGATCTTGGCCAGACAGTGGTGGTGCATGCCTTTAATCTCAGCACTCGGGAGGCAGACACAGGCAGATCTCTGTGAGTTCAAGGCCAGCCTGGTCTATAGAGCAAGTTCCAGGATAGACTCCACAGCTACTGAGAAACCCTGTCTCAAAAAACCAACAAAAAAAGAAAAAAAAATGTGATCTTGAATATTGTCTGCTGTGATTTTTAAGTATGTTTCATATTGATTCATCTAGGGTTTTATACTCATAAATAAGGTTGATAAAACTTTTTATAGATTTAGGAACTTAAAGGATCCTAGCTTTATGTAATGAATTTAGAAGTTTTCCTATTACCATGACTTGATACAGCTTAAATAAAACTAGGAAAGATTGGCATCATAGCCCGGCTCTGTAAACACTTGGCAAGCTGGACAGGAAGGCAAAATTCCTGGACCAGCGTTGGCCACAAAATGAGACCTTGTTTCAAACTTGAATAAAAGTGATGTGGAAGGGGGTTGCCTGATCATTTAAGGTTTCTCACTCACATTTTTCTGTTCTTGATTAAACAGCGAAGAGATTAAACTTGTCTAACTTCTCTTATTTTGGTCAGCGGTCAGTTGATTGTAAAATCCCTAAACCTGACTCCAAAGCTGATGATGGAGCCAGGCTGATGGATTAGAAGCTAGCAGCTCCTCCTGGCTCCCAGCAGCTTGCAAACAGCATCTCAGAGAGGTGGATGACGGGAGAGACACTCTCAAGTTTAATATGGGGCAGACAAGGCTGGGAGGAACCTAGACAGTCTTCTCCTTGGAACGGGTGAGAAGCACATCAGTGCTGAGGCGGTGGCCTGCAGGGGTGTGGTGGAGAAAGCAATAAGGGGAAGAACGAGAAAGAGAGAGACACCTTAGGTAAGGGGAGCAGACACAGAGTGGAGTCTGATCCAAGGGCAGTTCATGTGGGAGCTCCTTCAGTTCATGTGGGAGCTACCTGCTGCTCTGCCATGTTCAGCGTTAAAATATTGTGACAGGAGCGTCACGAGGACCCTGTGCCTGCACGTGCTGCTTCGGGAAGCAGAAGTCTCCACACTCCCCCCTTTCTCTGGAACACGCAACAAATAGTGCCATGCTATCTTGGCCAGCGTCCCCATTATGACTCAATGTGGCCCTGGTACAATGCACTGAAATGAGTCAGGCTATCCAGCTAAGAGTCAGGGCAGACTCCTCCACACACAACCTACTCCTGCTCACACTTCAACACATTCTTTACCTCAAAAAAAAAATAGAAGAGATAAAAACTCTAAGTCAATGGCCAGATCAGCATGGCTAGGAGCAACCAGATCCAGTCCTGGACATCCACCTACGCTACAGCGGCCG